CCATTACTAAAGGGAAAAAATTCAAGAGACATGATATGCAAGGGAAGCACAACACCCTTTTCATGATGACAATAATAATTGATAATACTTGTATTACTTTGTATGCTTTTAACAAAATTCAGGTTAATTATAATACGATATATAAACTGGTTATTATAAGATAAGATTCATTCATCCATTTATTAACAATGCATGAATCAGTTTTTTGCAGGAATATTTAGGTTATGAAAATTATTTTAGATTTCAAATGTATTTATGATATACAAACTAAAACTCACCCAGCAAAGCAGCTACAGTATGCACTGAGAATCCTCCCAGATTTCTTGTCCACAGCAACCCAGCAAGTGTGGGGAATGTTCCTAATTGAAGGCGTGCATGTAGTCTTGACGCACAAGCGTCGCTGTCAGGTCCTATGGGGTGGTGATCTTGCCCTTCTCTCAGGTGACCTTGCCCTTGTCCCAGGTGACCTTGCCCTTGTCGCAGGTGACCTTGCCCTTGTCCCAGGTGACCTTGCCCTTCTCTCAGGTGACCTTGCCCTTGTCCCAGGTGACCTTGCCCTTGTCCCAGGTGACCATACCCTTGTCCCAGGTGATCTTGCCCTTCTCTCAGGTGACCTCTCCCTGGTCCCAGGTGATCTTGCCCTTGTCCCAGGTGACCTTGTCCCAGGTGATCTTGCCCTTGTCCCAGGTGACCTTGTCTCAAGTGACCTTGCCCTTGTCCCAGGTGACCTTGCCCTTCTCTCAGGTGACCTTGCCCTTGTCCCAGGTGACCTTACCCTTGTCCCAGGTGACCTTGCCCTTGTCCCAGGTGACCTTACCCTTGTCCCAGGTGATCTTGCCCTTCTCTCAGGTGACCTCTCCCTGGTCCCAGGTGATCTTGCCCTTGTCCCAGGTGACCTTGTCTCAAGTGACCTTGCCCTTGTCCCAGGTGACCTTGCCCTTCTCTCAGGTGACCTTGCCCTTGTCCCAGGTGACCTTGCCCTTGTCCCAGGTGACCATACCCTTGTCCCAGGTGATCTTGCCCTTCTCTCAGGTGACCTCTCCCTGGTCCCAGGTGATCTTGCCCTTGTCCCAGGTGACCTTGTCCCAGGTGATCTTGCCCTTGTCCCAGGTGACCTTGTCTCAGGTGACCTTGCCCTTGTCCCAGGTGACCTTGCCCTTGTCTCCGGTGACCTTGCCCTGGTCCCAGGTGATCTTGCCCTTGTCCCAGGTGACCTTGTCCCAGGTGACTTTGCCCTTGTCCCTGGTGTCCTTGCCATTGTCTCGGGTGACCTTGCCCTTGTTTCAGGTGACCTTGCCCTTGTCTCGGGTGATCTTGTCCTTGTCTCAGGTGACCTCTCTTGTGTCCTTGTCAACCTCTCCATTGTCCTAGTTGAGCTCTTCCTTGTCAACATTTTTGATCCTCCTAGAACGTAATGTCATTTGAGATACAATAAGTTGTGCATATTGAATGTTATTGCATGATGATTGCAGTTATTACAGGAAGACAAACAAGTAAGCATAAGGGCAAATCATCATATCTATAGTTGTGGCTCTGCTAAACTATTTTCAACCATGATATATGCATTTATTATGTTAGCATGAACGTTCATCTGTGACACCCTTTTCATGATGACAATAATAATTGATAATACTTGTATTACTTTGTATGCTTTTAACAAAATTCAGGTTAATTATAATACGATATATAAACTGGTTATTATAAGATAAGATTCATTCATCCATTCATTAACAATGCATGAATCAGTTTTTTGCAGGAATATTTAGGTTATGAAAATTATTTTAGATTTCAAATGTATTTATGATATACAAACTAAAACTCACCCAGCAAAGCAGCTACAGTATGCACTGAGAATCCTCCCAGATTTCTTGTCCACAGCAACCCAGCAAGTGTGGGGAATGTTCCTAATTGAAGGCGTGCATGTAGTCTTGACGAACAAGCGTCGCTGTCAGGTCCTATGGGGTGGTAATGTACTTCATCATTAATCCACTTACTCTCAAAGTAGGAGTAGGCTTTCCCCTCTTTGTAGTCTTGATTTCGAGCTGCTGCTTCTTGGTTCGCTGACGCATGGGGCCTCGCACAGCAGCCATTTCGCGATTTTATTTATTTTATTTTATTTAATCTTCAAAGACACCTGGGTAGCTCCTTCAGCCAATAGCTGATTTCCAAGGAGGCCCAGGAGGGGTACAATAAGTAAAAGAATAATAAATTATACAAAGTACATAACAAAAGATGTAAATGAAATCAATATAACTGGAAGTTATACATAAATAAATGAATTATACGAAGTTCAACATGAACTGAGGGAATTAACAAGAAAACATAACTTCAAATCATAATCAACATAAATCGTTTTCCGTTCAAAATGATTGGAGGTCAGAGGTCGTCTTTAAAGCTGCCTTGAAGTGTTTTAAAGTTTGAAACTGCCTTACTTCAGCTGGTAGTCTGTTGAAATACTTTGCACCCGTGTAAGCGAATGCTCGCTGACCAGTTGTGGTATTGTATTTTGGTAAGTAATAGTAGTCTGTCTGGTGTGATATGTATGAAGATTATAATTGTGCAAAAACATTGAGGTTAGGTATGTGGGCATCAAGCCATTCAGACATTTAAATGCTGCTACACACACATGCTCAAATCTTCTTTCAGTCAGGTGTTTCCAGTTTAGCATCTGGTGGAGGCTGTCAGTGCTGCTCTCACGTAGTCTTCTTTGCAGCACTACTCTGGCAGCTCTGTTCTGTAGAATTTGAAGCTGCCTCTGCTTGAATTGAGGGCTCCACATCCCTCCCACACCGTGTCGCAATAGTCGAAAATGGGCAATATCATGGCTTTATACAGCATATCAGCAATGTTGAGGGTTAGGCAAGGTCTAAGGCGTTTCATTAGCCCAATTCTCTGTGCTACCTTGCCACAAACCTTGTCTACATGTTCATTAAATGATAGATTACAATCAAGATAAACACCAAGATATTTGAATGTTTGTACTCTCTCTATGATCTCCTGGTCAATGCAAAGTTTCAGAGAAGGTGCAAGTTTTAATCTATTGGCAGTACCAAATAGCATCCATTTAGTTTTGGATATGTTTAGCGTTAAACGGTTTGATTGGAACCACCTAGCTAGACCAGTAAGTTCAGAGTTGAGAGTTTGTTCGATGTGTTTTGCATTGTTGCTGGCACAGAAAATTGCTGTATCATCAGCATACAGACAGACTTTACATGCAGTGACAATATCCGGTAAGTCATTTATAAATATATTGAACAGCAAAGGGCCTAGTATAGACCCTTGGGGAACACCTAGAGTGACAGGTAGGTATTCTGATGTGCACCCGTTCAAAGAGACAACTTGTTGTCTCCCTGACAGGTAGTTTGCAAACCAATGGAATTCAGCACCTTGCACTCCCATCCAGGACAGTTTGGTTAACAGTAGTTTGTGGTCAACAGTGTCAAAAGCCTTCTTAAGGTCCAGATATACCACTCCCACCAGACTACCCCTATCCATGTTATGTAGTATATAGTCTTTAGCGTCTAATAGGGTTGATTCTGTAGAGTGCCCTTTTCTAAAACCAGACTGTTGGGTGGACAGAATACTGTTTTGGTGTAAATATTCAAGGAACTGTGTGTGTACTTCTCGTTCAAAAGCCTTCATAATAACAGGTAGTACAGAAATGGGCCTATAATTATTTGGATCTGTTGTCTCCCCCCCTTTATGTATAGGTGTGACCCTTGCTGTCTTCCAGTCTGCAGGTATATGGCTAGTAGAGAGAGACAAGTTGAAAATGTGAGTTAGAGGTTTGCATATGCTAGGTGCTGCTACCTGGAGAAGCCTTGCATGTATTTTGTCTAGACCAGTTGCTTTGTTTCTTTGCAAAGCTTTCAGTTTCTCATACACTGACAGTTCACTTACTTGTTTGAAGCTGAAAGTGGATGTCAGGTTTTTATATCTCTGAGGGCACTGTATGCGTAGGTTGGCAGATTGATTTTTAAAAGTCTCTGCCAATTTGTGGCCAATGGTAATAAAGAACTGGTTAAGGCAGTTGTAAGTGCCAACTTCCAATTTTGAATTTCCCGCCAGTAGATTAAGTTAGTATAGCTTCCCGCCAACTCCCTGCCCCCCTGAGCACCAGGGTAGGGAGCCCGTCTGTCTGGGACTTAGGTAGACAAGGCGACAGGCAGTGCATAAGGCACAAGCAGAGAGACAGAAGTCTGGTGTGGTTCGTGAGTTAGGACCAAAAAGGCCTGGGCACAGAAGTCCCAGGAAAGACCAGAAGAGGATTACAAAGGCCTGGATACAAGGATCCAGGAAATCCAGAAAAGGATTATCAAAGGCCTGGATAGAGAGGGTCCAGGAGATACCAGAGGATATTCTGTGGAAGGACGATGAGACCATACCAGTTTTACGCCAAGAACTCGCCAAGAACTCGCCAAGAACTTGCCAAGAACTAGCCAAGAATTCACCAGGAACTTGCTAAGAACTTGTCAAGAACTCGTCAAGAAGTTAACAAGAACTTGTGCTTTGTTCCTCGAATTGGGATCAAGAAATCAAACTGCCCTAGGAATACAATTACCAACAAGAACTCTACCAGCAAATTCAGAAACATCGAACTTATACGGCGGAAGTAGAACAGGGCGGATTTCAGTTTGTATTACTAACTCTACTGAAGATTAAACATTTATGACGTATTCCAATCAGTTTGTACGACTTCTTCCCTGAAGACCAACAGAGGTGAGTTCGGTAACACTTCCTCATACGTCCATCCCATGCAGAATAGCAGCAGCCACAGTAATAAAGTGGTGCTGCGCCTACAATAACTATAAGCATTTCAACCTACTTTGTTAGGGTCACGACTTGTAAGGCCACAGCAAGAAAATTTAATGGATGACATTCTCTGCAGACTCCAAATCTAATGCGAGCGGGCGAAAAAATAACAAGGCGGGCCGAAAAAAACATGGTTCCCACATTTTCAAATTTTGGCTCAATCATTGAATAAATGGTTTTGATTCAGTGTAAACTTCAAATTTCTTGTGTGTTTTTTTTTTTCGAAAATCAGGCGAAAATTAATGCATGCGCTGATTACTTGCTGTGGCCTAAGTCTAGATTGTTCCCGTGGATTGCTGGGCTGATACATGTAGAACTACTGGTCATGAATGACAAAATTCTCACAAGCTATTTTACATGTATGTCAAGTAAGGATTTAAGTAACAAGAAGTTTCTTTCAGTAATAATGGCAACCTATCATGACATATTTCTCGACAACATATTTACGGGGGCAGCATACATTTCCTAGCTCATGAGTAGACAATAGTAACCTGTCAATTGTACATACAATATAAACCACTTTTTCTACATTTGTAACTTGTAATGTAATTGACAACAAGTATGCTAAAGTATTTATACAAAGTTTACTACGTTTTACTGAATACAAAAATGTTGTAGCAAGAAATGGAGATAGCAGGGTTGAGCAGAGTTCCCCGACACTTATGTCTAGTGACCCAGGTGCTGGTCCAAATTAGCAAGGATCCAGTTGTTTGTTCCTTTTAAACAGTGGTAAATTGTGAGAATTCTGTAAAATTCAAATTTTTCCTAGTAGTGAATACTAGGGTAGTACAAAATGTATGAATACCTTAGCACCCCTGTACATGTACAGCAGAGCTATTTTGATTACTAGACATAACATTGAAGGCATTCTAATTTTCTTGGCTCTTTATACACAAAATAATGCAAATAGGATATAAAAGTGGGAATGAAGACAAAAAGCTTAGTTGCCAGGGAAACTCACATTTCTAAGTCTTTGTACCTTTTGAGCTTGCTACATTTAAGAGTCATACATGTAACATGACATCATCATTTTCTTTGTTTAATGTCAGATAACACAAAGTCTACCTAACAATGTAGATGTCAGGATGCAAAGAAAGGACACAGTCTACATCTGCTCTCTCATAGTGACTTCACCATTTTGTTGACCCGTTGGGCTCTCCTGTAGATTGGTTGCCATGGCAACAGTGGTGTTGGTACTGGGTGTGTCTGACGTGACTGTGCTGGGGGGCTCCGAAGATATAGATGAGGAGGCTGAGGAAGATTTGGGGGCTTTTTCTTTATAGTCTGTGATAATAACTGTGACGTTGTTGACTGTGACGGCCATGTGTGTGGCAGTGCTCCTATCCACATTTTTCAATCTTGGCCTGTGGGGACAGAAATGTACAAATGCAAACTGGCTGATTACATCGATAATTGGTACAGTGGTTAACTTTCAGGATACTGCTGTTCAATACTCTATAAAGTTGAGTGACTTGCGTGTAATGCTGTACATGTGTACCAAAGCCCACGTTCAGGTCTACAATAAAAGTCATGTAGGTCCAGAATTAAGTCCAGAGGTTTAGGTCTTGTAAGTCTGGACCTACCGGTAAACCCAGGGCATGTATATAAAATATGGGACTTCTTACTTAACATATCCAAATAGATAATGGGGCATATTTACTGAAATATGTAGAGTTTATATAAATGTTTTGGGGGGATTTGTCTGAAATAAGGTCGTAATTATCATCATCTAGTTTAATTTATGGTTTTCCAAACTCAAACAAGAATTCGTAGACATCGTATCTCCATGAGTTTTTTTATATGTCCCATTGACTTTGGAAACAAGATAGTAATTACCATAACAGGGCTCAAAATACAATTTTCAGGTACATGCAAAAACGCACATTGGCAAAGAGATAAGGTGCAATTTGAAAACTTTATGTGCAAAATTATATTTAGTTGGTTTGCAACTGTTCTCCAGCTGGTTTGAAAGTGGTAAACGATTTCTTTTCCAGGTGGCTCAGTAGTCAGTGAAAGCATCCTGCAAAAATTATGTAAACCCAGAATGAATTAACTGACATTCCTAGTTTGTGTTATTTGCATGATTTTTCAAGAAAAAAATTAAAAATACAAAGCTTTGAAACAAGAAGAAAAATATCAAAAGAAAATTTGTGGTATTTCTTGGCATTAGCTTTAGCTTTCCAGGGAGCCACTAGTGACTCCCACGCCCCTCCTACTCTCTACATTGTACATGTTACAAACACTAGTCTAAAACTAACTGATGGAATTTCCCGAAATCAAAACATTTTATACAGCAAATAAAGACCAACAGTTTAAGAGCAATAAATCCTTTTTACTTTGCATATTTGTTACCCTTGATTATCATGCACAATTTGTAAAGTGAAATACATTGTATACTGCCCCCTCCCCTCTTCTGCTCTAGGTGCAAAATTGCACATTCAAAATATTTTTAAGTGCAAATTTTGAAAATCATGTGCATTTTTGCACATTGCACATGGGTATTTCGAGCCCTGCCATAATATAGTTTAATTTTCTTTTTCTAAATTCAAGTTACAATATTTTGCACGTAAAATTCCTTTCCTTTGTCAATACTTCATTTCAACATATCCTCATTAATTATGCAAATGACCTCTACATTAAAATGATATTTGCATGGTGATGTTACACACGTCACAAGGTATAAAATTGCCATCATTCACCAATAAGAAATCATAGAATTTTCACATTAATTATGCCAATTAGGTCATCATTTGCATAATTGGTATCCATTGATGTTCCACCTGGCATAGATTAGATTACATGGATAAAAGTAATAATATATAAAACACTAATTATAGAATTTCCTCTAATTATGCAAATTAAGTCCACTTAAATTGCATCTAATTATGTACATCTCAGTTACCTACATACCAAAAATGATGAAAATACGTTGTTCCTATCTGGACTTATGGGCTACGATTTTGCCAGAAAACAAGTTGCTAGGGGACCAAATCCACACCATTTTATTCCTGACAAGAAAATCTGTCACCAAAAATCCAGGACCATAGCATGTTCAGGTCAAAAGATACAAAAAATGGGAGTTCTGCTGCAGTACCAAGGTCAGCCACCAGGGAGCCCATATTTGACCTTGACTTTTGTCTTCCTACAAGCTACAAACATACCAAATATCATCATAATCCATAAAGACGCTCTGAAGTTATGCTGACTACAAATGTGCGAAAACACAGACAGACAGACACACACACACACACAGACACACCAAAAACAATACCTCCATTTTTCATGGAGGTAAAAAGATACTTACATGTATTTCATTTTCTTATTGCTGCTGGTATTGGAGGGGTTGGTGTGCACAGCACTGTGTTCTTTTTTCTTGCCCATCCCAACGCTGCTACCAGTGTTGTTACTCACACTCACAGTGGCACTGCTATTGGGACTGGTGGCACTACCGGATACTCCGTTTTCCCGGTCCTTTTCTCCCCTCTCTCTTTCTCTCTTAGGGGGCTTAGGCTGAGGGGGGTTAAACTGCTGTGCCACCTGCTGTGCAACCAGTTGGGAATTTAGGCGAGGCTTCCTGTAAAGATTACATTGACTGGGTCACACTACTTTTCACTTGGGAGACAAGGTACAATTCTTTTTCAAAAACATCTCAAAACTGAATCATGGTATCAATACAAGTCCCACCCTATGCAAGCATCCAAAGTTAAAGTTAAAGTTAAATGGTAATCATGAAGTAAACACTGGAATACATGTATTTAAAAATCTTAATGTGCCTTTCTAGTTATTTACTTTGTTGAGTACCAACCATTAACCCATCGAAAACATAGTCTTTAACCAAGAAGACCCTACACATTTGCTAACCCACAGCTGTGGATCTCTTCAATGGCAAACTGTTATACCACAGTGAGACTGCACTGCCAATAAAAATGTAGACCTTACTTTTATGGATGACACCCTCTGAAGACCCCAAACTAGTGCGCGTGGGCAAAAATAAAAATGCTAGTAACTATACCACAGGAATACAAAGCTGGTATTGTAAAGTTTCGACGTATAGGACAAGCCGGCACATGCTGGCTTTTTGCGAAGTTTTGAATCGGCACTGTACGCATGTACTGAGATCTGGAGCTTCGTGGAGCTTTGGGTGCCATCCTACAGAATTACAGCCAGCTCCCTATTGTCGCTAACTAGCATGGACTACCCAAGCCTAGAGCCAGGCCAGAGCTTCAGAGGATGTGATCTTTTTTTTTTAGGTACAGGCGAAAATCAATGCGCGCGGGGATGTCATCCATAAAATTAAGTCGATGTGGCCTTGGGGCTAAAAACTAACAAACCTGTACCTTTAAAATTAACTTAAAGTACAGGTCTGCACCTAAACATTTACTTTTAGTGTATGTGTATGGTACACTGTACTTGAACAAAATTAACTACTAAGTGGGCACAATTTTTTAACTTAGGCAAATTGCATCTCAAAGTTGACAAATTTGACAATTCAGCTTTTGAAAATCAGGAAAACTTGTAAAAACCTTGTATTTGGATTAAAATCTATGAACATTTTGATATTTATACAGTCAAACCTGCCATGGCGACCACCACTTCATACCCACCACCTGGCCATGGGGACTGCTTTTTTCTCAGTCAACGGTTCAATTTCCCACATTTTGAAAGGCAAATCAAGCCGTGTTGAAGGGATTGAGAGTGGTTGTAGGTGGTCCTTTGGATGTTTTTATATTTTTCCCCAAGATTTTTGTCAATTGTCAGTCAAGGCTGATGGATTGGTTTAAATTTTTTTCCTTCACCTGCTGCAAAATTCCATTCCTACAATTGACAAAAAAAATGGGTGCTGGCTAGAGCCCTGACAGCCAATTTGCCCCGCTATTGTTGTGTTTGCAAAGAACCAATGTCGGCACACGAGTAAAAATATATCTTTCAGGATTAGTAAAAACGTATCTTTCAGCACTGATCTTAAGGCTGCCGTCATTTTCATTAGCAATTCGCTGCAGTTACGTGCCAGGGAACACTTATTTAGCACCAAGAGTTTGCTAAGACAAAAGGGAGAACTGTCGACTAAAAGCTGGAAACCATATGAATATTTCTATGGAAGGATAAGCCATCGGACATCGATTTTTACCAGACTAGTCAAAGATAAATACAAACTGCCGCAAGCAAATTCAGGTTTGGTCGCCATCTTCAATATGTAAATACTACTATAGGTCTTTGATTGGTTCACCTCAAATGGCCTATCCTCTGATTGGTTGATAGAAGGGGGTTAGGTGGCTGCTGTAAATATTCTTTGCTGACCAAAATTGTTTTTAAAGTTTTAAAATATTTTTCCTTCGTAAAGGCAAGGATGTTGATAAAATGACTAGAAATCGTGCATTATTTCACAAGCCGGGAAGTGATTAATGGGAAACAGCCAGGCAGATTGAGCTCATTTCTATTTTTGATCACCGTGCGTAACAGCACTCAGTAAAATTATTGTTTGCATTTGATTAATCACTTGCCCGCAACTTTGACCCACCTTAATCTACCTTATTTTAAGGTCCCTGGGATCTTACGATACTTACTGCATTTGACATAAAAGGACTTGAAACAATTATGCCTCATTCATGTTGTAAGTTGGCCCTCTAAAGGAGACCACGTGTCCAAGGCGACCGCTTTTCTCATGACCCCTGGGTGGCTGCCCTGTGCAGGTTTGACTGTACATTGTACAAAGACAAGAATTTACCACTAAAAAAGACAGTTGGTTACATGTATAACTCGATGAAACTTGTTTAGGTTAAGGTCCAGACTGTCCAGGCCTTGAGTATATATAAAATTTGTAAAACGTAAAATGTATGTTTCAGGTTGCAAAATCCCTGACTTCCAACAATACTGGCATTTGAATGATTTCAATGACCAATACTGATGCTGTTTGGACATTCATTGGTTGTCCAATGGTCTGAGTCTGTCGTACATGTACATTTATATGGAAATAAGCAATACATGTTGACTGTTGTGTGTGCCCTACCTTGTGGATGTGCCCTTCCTGACATCACACATGCTGCACTTGAAGGCCTCAGCATTGTTGCGGAAGGTGCATACGGAGCATTCCCAGTATCCCTCCGCCTCCGTCTTCTTGTCACGCTTTGGTCTGGAGGGAAGGGAACTATTTTATGTTAGTGGCATAATGAAGTTAGACTATGTTGTAATGCTTCAGGTCCCTAGTAACTACATGTAGCTACAGCTAACTGACCAGCAGTCCTGACAGACTTGAGGGGAAGCCAGGGTCACTCGGCTGCTGGCTTAGGTATGCCTTAGGTTTGGGGCATGCCAAGGAAAGTTTGGAATTTCTATCCCAATAAAACAGTTTCCCACAGTATAAGAAGGAAATTTCAACTGCAGGAAGACTTAGTTGACAACTACAAGTACAATGTAATAGCCTAATAGGAAAACAGGGTTCTCGCCAGCGCATTCGCCCGGCGTTGTGAATTTTTCCCCCGACGCTGTGATTTTTTCCCCCGACGCTGTGGTGCAGCAGGGGGATTTTGTGTTGTTTTTTCCCTTTTCAATCTGTGCTTCATTTGAATTTGAAAAAAAATATAGTCTTTGCTCTTGTCACAAGGAACACCTCAGACAATAGAAAACAAATTAATTGCCGCGGGCAAGTAAAGGCACCACTCCGGTAAGCACATGGACGTCGGGGAAAGTGATTTTGGGGACTCCCCAGTATAGCATCATTGGCACAATTTTCCTGATAAAAATACAATATTAGGGACTGTACGATATTTAGCGGGGGGGAGGGCCGGTCATCTGGGGGGGAGGGTCAAGGAAAACTTTTTTGGCTTAGGGGGAGGGTCTAGGAAAAATTTTTGGGCCTGGGGGAGGGTCAAGGAAAAATATTTTTCTCCAGATCCAAAATAACTTCAGACGTTCTCTCACCAAAATTTGCCTCTCAAAGTGCGGGAAAAAACGTTTTTGGTGATCTACAAATTAATTTTTCCGGAGGAAAATGCCCCGAACACGATCTACGTCGGACGTATCGTATCATCCGCGGCTCACTGGCGCCGGCGGTGTGTCAAAATACGTCCCCACCAGGCATGCGTCTTTGGACGCCTTATTTTTGCCACATGCAGACACTTGGTCGGATAAACTCAGAATTGTGTATCAGCAAAACAGCAAAAAGGCGTTCCCAAAATACAAGAAATGGCGTTTCCAGAGGGTCAAGATTTTAAAATTTTCCCGGGGAGCAAGCCCCGATCCCCGTTGTGTATTGTGGAAGAAGTTCGTGGACGTCATGCAGTCGAATAGCGAGTAAGAAACTTAGCTACAAGGTACTAGAAATCTAGCTTCGTATAGCAGCAAAATTTTCCCCCGAAAATGCAGGAAAACACGTTTACAGAGGGTTAAAAATCTCAAAATTTTCCCGGGGGAGCATGCCGCCGGACCGCCCTAGGTTCGCCGCGAGACGATAGTGGGTTCCATACAAATCTCAGCGGAGCAAACTCTGGTACTTTTTGAGGTATTATTTTAAAGATAAACAAAAAAATGTGACAATTTCTCCGGCCTAACCGTGGGCGGCTTGCAAAATTTCCGGCCCCATCTCTCCCTTTCTCTCGGCAAATTCTGCCTCTCAAAGAGCAGTACATAGCGTTGTTGATCGAGGACGACAAATTAATTTTTTTCGAGGTGTCCTCCACCCCAAAATGCAGCGCTATAAAATATACTAGTACATGTAATCAATATATTGTTTGGACGTCCTCTACACTCCAGGCGGGCAGGAACGTCTTCCGGCCTTTGGACTTGTAAAACGTCATTTTTTCTTCAATGTATATTATTGACGTCAAGGGGAGGGTCGAGAAAAAAAATTTTGAGCTGGGGGGAGGGTCAAGGAAAACAATTTTGAGCTGGGGGGAGGGTCAAGGAAAAAATGTTTTACCCGACCCTCAGACGACCGGCCCTCCCCCCCGCTAAATATTGTACGGTCCCTTAGTGCCAGTGAAAAGCGTGTCCATTTGTAAGAAAACCCATGAAAAGTCCCTAGATACCATTATCTTGGCAAAAACAGCGGTAACGGGGGGGGGGGATGTGCCCTAATTCCGACCTATGTTCCATGTAAACGCACAGGCCTTTGGTAATAGTTTATCTGACCAAAAACCCGCGCAACATGAGCTATAATATTGACAGATAAAGATCACAACGATTAAAGCTGCATATTTCACTTGAGTGTATCGCCTTGCACCCAAGCGTAATGGTTCGCAAAACGCACGACAGGTTTTTGGTCATTTTGCCGGTGAAAGGTTCTATCGCAACAGGGGTGCCCTAATTCCGACCCAGTGTTTAACACAGGTCGATCTGAGAAGAGAGTTTAGAAATTATAATACACAAATTATGACTGAAACAATCTACAACTGTCTTCTGTCCCAAACAAGTCCTCTTTTTACGATTACACGACTTGCTCCAAAGTGGCTGTCTGAAAAGCAAAACCTGCATTTTTGACACGCTCGTCAACCCCTGAACAAGTGTCGAATTCACACAGACTCGTCTGTTGTCGGAGTGTATGAACTAAAACAAACTTTGTGAGATTACCGATATCAACACAAAAACTTTGTCCATTCTTGTGGTTATTTTTAGGCACGTGCTCCCATGCATAACGCCGCAACAAGGATTTTTCAAACTAGTTCGGTATTAGGGATGGGTCGGAATTAGGGCACCCCCCGTTAAATATCTTATTTTCCTGATGATACAAACTGCACATGTATTTTCTACCTGGAACCTGGAGCAAGTATTCCAAAGGTGTTAAGGCCACACCAATTTAATTTGTTGGTTCTCGGAATTTATCAGAAAAAATATGAAGCGACAGGGCGAAAAAAAATAAAAATAAAAACAGGTCTAAGGCATCCTATTATAGGCTTAAATGCTATGAAATGAGCCATGAAGTCAACACAAAAGGCTGGGTTAAAATTTGAACATTGAATTGTGAACTTTTAATCAAACCACTGCAATGATAGATGGGAAAACTGTAACAACTAGGAAGAAAAGGACTTTCCTCAGCTGTTGGGGGCAAAACATGAGCATTTTTCAGTTGATTCAGGACCAGAATCAAATTTTTTTTTTTTTTTTGCAAATCAGAAAAAAACGAAGGGGCGAATCCGAGAACCAACAAATTAAATTGGTGTGGCCTAATGTATTGAAAACTACGCTAGATCATTTCCTTGCAACTGCTGTTGCCTAAAAAATATTTCTTTGTTCTTTGGGCATAGCAAAAAGACCCATTTTACACAATTAGAAAAGACCTGTTTCACACCATTTTCAAGTGATGTATGCCAAAGCTGCAAATATCATTCTTTGAGCATATGCTCAAGGCACCCCTGTACCAAATGACGAATTCTACATTCCGTATTTCCGTAGAAAGACATGGTACAGGCTAGGTAAATAGTATGTTGCTTCGTTCACAAAAAGACTCTCTGACCACTATAACATTACTACGATAATCATCTTCAAAAAACCTACACTATACATACACACAACACCCCCCAAAACAATATCAAACTGTCGAAGGCATGAGTCCTCCGAACTCTAGTTTATTTTAAGATGGTTACAACTTACAGAAGGGCATAGACCTTATTGAGGCAGTCCAAAGGAGGGCCAGCAAAATGATCCCTGAGCTACAAGACTTATGCTATACAGAAAGACTAAAAAGGATGGGACTGACAAGCCTAGCAGTCAGAAGGTTCAGAATCAGAGGGGATATGCTGGAAGTACATGTATTTAGAATCCTCAAAGGGTTTTAAGGCATTGAAAAAGAATCACTTTTCCAACCCTTGGTTACCCCGAATGTCGGACGACTCGGACCATTACTAACTTGGCCCAGACAACTCGGCCCATCTACCTGGTCAACTCGGCCCATCTACCTGGTCAACTCGGCCCAATACCGCGGAGACAGTAATTTAGACAGAAACACACGCACACACAATGTCAATTTTGGAACAAATATCATCGATCTACAATCAAAAGTTTATTCAAGTAATGTAATTTCTTTCTTTTTACACAAGTATAACGACTACAACTGGCACTACTTCTTAGTCAACGAACGATGTTGATTGAAGGTTTACTACTTACATACTACAGTCAAACCTGTCTATAGTGGTCACTCAAGGGACTGGCCAAATCTGACCACTATGGCCAGGTGACCACTATAGAGAAACAGCCGGTTAGTTGACCCCCCCCCCGCCAAAAAAAAAGCGACACATGATGCTTTCAGTACCAACAGAGATGTCTTTATTCTGAAACATATGAATACATACATTGCACCCCTTTTTGGATGTAACGTTACTTGTTAACGTTATAGTTCAATAATTTGTTGTTCTTTTACTTTAGTTTAGCCTGGTATCCAGTCTGATTCGTGGTCGGGGCCGCAAGAGCTCTGGCCCGCCCGCCTCACATAAGCGTCCCGGTGTGTATTTCACAAGAGATTAATTAGCCCTCCACGAACTATCGTGTTGGGGGAAACCAAATCCCCGAGCATACTCTCTCTGATTAGCGTAACACTCCTACTGGGACGGTCTGTTGCACTGGGCGGGGGAAGCTCTTAGACTACTAGTTAGAGGCCCCGAAGACACAACCTGCCTAAACACCCCAATACCCCCAATCACGATCAGACTGGATACCAGGCTAACTTTAGTTGTACTTGGTTGAAAAATAATGAAACCATTCACACTAAAACATACAAAATCACTGGTTGTCATTTACTGTTCTTGTGTACATACTACATGTGGCTAAAGAAAGAAAGCAAAACAAGCAAAAATAAAGTTTCTGTCAACTCCAAGCAAATTTCTACCGACTGCAAACTCATTTAATCTAAGCTCAGCTTTCGACGATTTCTCCACACTCTCTCTGCCAGTCCGATCACTTCCACCTTTTGGAATAAGTTCGGCGTCTGTCTTTCCGCTTTCGCCATCGTTTCTCCGCAATCGCCACGTTACTAGTAAGTCGAGAAGTGTAAGAGAACGACATCGCCATGTTTTTGTTCTTTGGTGAATGCTTCGCGCGACCGACATACGCCACAGCGAATTCCAACCACGTAAATAAGTTCTTTTGTACCAAGATGCTGTCCATTTAGTTAACAGCAAAATAATTGTCCGTCAGTTGCCAGTTACTTTCCGTTTTTGGTCGTTTTTGAACATGAAAACGCAGAGAAAAACTCCTTTGTTTACGGCTTAGGTTTCTTCCCGCGTGGGTTGTCTGCCTCTACCATTATGCCAATGTGGTAGTCAACAGAAAATTGGCTCCTTTCAGGCTTATATCTTTTGTAAAATATCTAGTACAGTCTTAAATTTACATCTTAAATTACTTGTAGTAATGTATTTCAAATATTTATTAATGTAATTACGTCATTTGATTCTATAAGATTAATGAAAACTCGGTGTATGTACCTCCATAACAGTGGAGTCGTCCGTTGACCCCAATTGACCCGTCTGCTGCTGGCACAAGCGCCATCTTGGAAAACACGAAGCGCATTTTCCCATCCCAAATTTCTTGAGTTATGCCTATGAAAAACGGACGCTGGGCACATATCTACGCATTTCAAGGAATCGAAAAACCAAATGTGGATATTCTTAAGTTTTTTTGTAAAGATAATGGCCGTAATCTTTGCCGAGCGGCCGAGTCCATTGAAAGCTACATGCGGCACGCACGGCACTGGCGTTGGGGAAAACGATATCAAAGACACGCGACCGCAGAAACTTCGTGTCAAAACCAAGTTTTCCTTTATTTATACACATATGGAGTCGAATTTTCAGTTCACATTTTAGTAATGTAGCGATCGGAAAATCATCCCAAGGCTCATTTATAACGGCTGTAGTCCGAGTTGGGTGGTGTTACGGCCGTGGTGCTTAGCGGGTTACGGTCAGCCGCGACCGCTATCGGCGGTGTTGACATGCCGGCGGGACCGGAATGGGGTGACCGCTGACCGCGTTGAACAGTGACCGCTATAGACACGATTCTTAATGGTTACGTCAATGGGAAAAATTCAAGGGACAGGCAAAAACTGACCGCTATGGCCGAGTGACCACTATACAAAGGTGACCGCTAGTACAGGTTTGACTGTATTTCTACTAAAGTAATCGGTACAACAGTCACATAATTATCGTCATGAAACAAAGTAAGAATGTACTAAAATAGTGAAACAAATGAATTCGTTTAGTATCGTGTGGTAGGCACAACGTTAACGATGGGCAAAGTCGTCGCTCTCCGGTACACTGAATGACTAGACTTTTTTGGATCCCGTTTTATAGCCAAACAATTCAATAGTTTTGTTGTCTAACAAAAAGTCGCGGTCTCGGTTAAAGCCATGTTGATTTCCCAAGCGCATGCGGGGTTTTGACTTTAAAAAAACTCAAAGTTTACAGTTCAAAGTTGTCTAACAAAAAGGTGAAGACGTGGTCTCTATAAAATCCTGTTGATTGCCCAAGCACCAGCAGTTTTGGACTTCAAAAACTTCATAGTCAACATGGTTGATTTGGTGGTGGGCGGAGTTAACCAGGATGGTGGGCCGAGTTGACCAGGGCGGTGGGCCGAGTTGACCAAATTTGCGATGGGCCGAGTTGGTAACGGTCCAAGTCGTCCTGATACCCCATACAACACGAGAAGTCATAGCCTGAGATTAAAAATCCCCCCAGCGAAACTGGAAATCACAGAAAGATCCTTTGCAGTAAGAACAGTTGTCAATGGCTTTGAGACTAGCATTGACAGCTACATCAAGACTGTGTTCCATGGAGGAGCTACTAGAGAAAAGCTCCTGATCATGACTGCAGAGATATACAGGAACATCCCTACAGTTAAGGTAAATTCAAAAATAGAGGAACCATCAAGTGACAAATTTATGGTACAGTAGCGAACTTAGGACCCCCCCCCCCCATTACAGTAGAATTATAGCATATTTTTGAACCCTAGATAATTACCGCATGAAACTGCAAAACTTTAGGTCCAACATGCCATTACTTCTATGGAAAAAAAACACGCCACTTACTTAGTGTGCTTTTTTCCGTAGAAGTAATGGTTAAAATTTCTTTGTTTAAGATGGCATAAATGCATCCCAAACTCATCAGTATGGATTGAGTACATGTGCACAAGAAAGAATATGTCTAATAGCACTAAAATTTTAGGTTGGGGGGGGGGGTCATAAATCACTGGCTTTAAAAAATGGTACTTCGTTGGAATTAATGGTAAATCGTCTTTAAACCAGCTGAGATGAGTGCAGTAAAAAGCTCTATATGGACTGTCTGCTGCTAGCCTGGGTACCATCCTACTTGTATGCCGGGGCTCCCACAGTCGCTTCCCTAAGAAGTAGTACTTCTTAGGCAAGCGACTGTGGGAGCCCCGGCATACAAGTAGGATGGTACCCAGGCTAGTCTGCTGCTGCCTCTCTGCTGTTCATTACTTAAAAATTAGCGCTATCTTCTACTCAGAAGAAAACATCCTATAACTGGGATAGTAACGGCAGTGAACCTTAATCCGACACTTGAGTGCATCTTGTAGCCTGTTTTTAACGCCATACCTACGTGTGTGTCACTCTCCCAACCATTGAGATATCGCTGGAAAATTGCGTCTTTAACATCGCTCCCGATTCACCGTGCCCTGCGTATTCTGTTCTAAGCGAAACCTTAATCCGACGCCATGCAACAGTGTAGCTGTTTGCCTGTAATTTTGCTATTCACAACAACACTTTTTCTCAATCCCTTTGTCAAACAACAGACACTTACACTAGTTATCATTGGCATCAAAAGTAACAGTCGGCAGGCCGGTGCACCGCCGGCATCGCTACATCAGATCACGTGGCTTGGGACTATTGAATTTTCAAAGAAGGGGACCACATTCGAATCAGTTACGGCGGGGCATTTCGTTGCAAGAAATATTTGAATATGGAATAATTGAAGAATTTTACGATAATTTTACCATACAGAAAGCTTATTCTGCACTATTCCGAAGTATTCGTCACTAAATTAATTTTGGCGATATACAAGTGTTGCGATCATTTGCCACGTCCACGTACGGACTAGTGGTATCGTCTTCAACAACAACAACAAGTATTCAAAATGGCGGTTTTGTTCGATCAGCCGCTGAATGACCGTAACAAACTCGCTCTGTGCTTAAAAAGAAGGACACTTCTAGGCAAGTGGTTTGTCAGCAACAGACACTTTATTAATTGTTTTTTTTTTATTCGCTGTGACGTTGAATGTATAGCATGAGGATGTAAAGAAGAAATTGTCTATGTTTTGACCACTGTCCTTCCGGAAGCTTCCTCCCACGACATGCCGTACCAGTGTAAAACAGGCTGAAAATTTCATGACCTCATCTCCATGTAACATGTTGACTTCGTTAGCTCACTGTTTCAAGTTTTTATGCTGTATACCTTATTGAGTTTGTAAAGCAATTAAAAGATTTTGCATATCAGTGCTAGATCCTAACAGACAGAGGAGTGTTGAAAAGTGTCGGATTAAGGTTGCGTCAGATTAAGGTTCACTGCCGTTATTATATAACTTATTGTTGTTGTTGTCCTTGTTTTACATCTAATATATCCCTAGACGTGATCTCTTGGTGCTCGTTTTCGCGTGGTTCAGCTCAGAGTCTCTCTAGGTAGTTTGGTCTTGGTGCCTTGTGCTTATGTGAAGCTGGGAGTGTCTTTATTGAGAGCACGTCGAAACGGTGCGTACTCTCAATGTACCGGGAGAGGATTAGGTACATCTGCTTGTTTGCTGCTTCAGAAAGGCCTTCTCTCATTCTGGCTTGGGTGGACGATATCCGTGTCTCTGTTTTCCTCTTCTATGTTGTATGTCTCATGTATGCTGTCAGCTTCTAGCAGCATGTGATGCCGTTTGTTGTCATAGCGAGGGCAGTGGTACAGGTAGTGATTGGTGGTCTCTGAGACGTCACAGTTTGGGCAGTGTGGTGGAACCTCAGGGTTTTTCCAGTTCTGATGCAAGGGTACCGAAGTAACGGGTTCCTCACTAGCCACCCAGTGCCGAACTCGCGGGGAAAGTGGCATCGGCACTCGGGGCCCTGTGCGGAAGGAAACTCCACACAGGAATTCTAGTGCTGAATGGCATGGTTTGATTTGTCGATTTAGAGTTTCCAGTGCTGAAGCCGCCGACACTGGACACCAAGTGTTGACGTAACTTCGGCACTGGAAGCCGCCTCACCTCTCTGTACACCTAGTGCTGAGAAAGGAACCCGTTACTTCGGTACTTTTGCTGTTCTGATATGCATTCAGTCTGGTGTGTCCGCTCACTAGCTGATGACTATGGTATGAGGGTCTAAATTATGGGGAGGGGGGCACAACCAACGTTACCCGCGAAACCAGACATATTCGTCTCTATTCGTTCGTGTTTTTAGAGAATATTTTCATATAAGTGCATCAAATTTCAATATTATCAGAGTATCAAATTACCCTCTTACCTATTGGGACTTCTTCTTTGTTCTCCCTTATCCGTCATTCTGCAGAAACTCCGATTTGTGGAGAATTCCGTGGAGAAACTCCACTGCCTTGAGCAAAGATGTCTCCTCTCAGCGCGGTAGACGTCATGTGACCTATTCAAGCCAATCAGAGTCCAAGGCAGGTTTTATCGGGTTATTTGCGGTCACCAGATCATTGACAGAGGAAGATCTTTAAGAGGGCCTGCAAGGGGGAGTACTAGTGATTACGAATTACACAAAATTTTCGCCGCCTATTACGAATTACGTTAAAGTCTCAGAGCTGATTACGACTTTACGATTTGCGGCTAATGTCCAATCACGAATTACGTTGATTTCTGCGGAGGCTGCCTACGAATTACGAAGTGTAAAACGGCCTGATTACGCCTTACAAAAAAGGGCTTGCAGGCCCTCCTTTATGCACGACAATTGCACACGGTACAATGTATGCCTAATGGTAGCCGCGGCGACTGTTGTAGGGCTTCTCTTGCTTGCAGTTTTTTACAGTGTTAGGGCTACTGTAAAAGACTGCAAGCAAGAGAAGCCCTGCAACAGTCGCCGCGGCTAGCCTAATGGCAAAGTAAAGAAAAGAAATGCGGATTCTTTGACTTGGTCGACCACACAATAGCGATGAGGCATTTTACTTGAGCATGGTGTCCGACCAGGGATCATCCCTTGGCTCGCCAGCTTTCATGAGGGACGGTGCCAGAGGACAAGATACCAAGGGTCGTTGTCCCACACAGAACGTCTTACTGTTACTTGTGGCTTGGCGCAGGGCACCAAGCTTGGTATTCATAGTCCACGTCAACAAACTACCTGGGATCATCGATACTCCGTCGTGGTCATTCGTCGATGATTTGAACGTCATAGAGTCCAGACCCGTATCTCAACCACCCAGAATACAGAACGATCTCGATCAGCTCTCAAGCTGGACAGTTGAAAACAAGATGAAGCTTAACCCAGGCAAATGTAAAGCCATGCACATTTGTTTCTCCCGTAACCCACCGCCGCCACCAGCTCTCAACATCGACGGTCACCTGCTGAAAGTTGTTAAAGTAGCCAAGTGTCTTGGAGTCTCATTCCAAGAAGATCTGAAATGGGACACCCACATCACGGACACTACTAAGAAAGGGAATCAAAGGTTATACTTACTATGTAGACTTCTTGCGTCAATTCAACCTGCCTATACTATAGAAGACCTTCTGACTGTCTATACGTGTTTTGTCCGCGCCGTGTTGGAGTACGCTGCGCCACTATGGCACCCTGGCTTGACAACAAGACAAAGATGCAAGATTGAAAATATCCAGCGTCGAGCAACAAAGATTATTCTGGGCAAGAACTTTACCAACTACTCGTCAGCCTTGAAAGTGCTGAAACTCCAAACACTTGAAGACCGAAGAGTCGCTCTGTGTGCTAAGTTCGCCAAGAAGGTACACAACTCCGATCTGTACAGTCACTGGTTGCCAGAACATAGAGGTAACATTAGCGTCAGGGTGACCAGACAGAACAGAAAGATTGACCAGTTGCCAGCAAGAACCGACCGTTATAAAAAGAGCTCAATCCCATACTTTGTCACACTGTTGAACAACTCTGTATAGTAGGATATCCGTACAGTCCTTTTCTGCCTACAGGTTGTATTTATTGTCCTTGTATTTAGTGTCATTGTATATACTTTACTAGTTTTTAAAAGTAAATAAGCTAGGGTTTTAAACAGTTGCGGCATTATGATTTTAATAAGTAATATGTAATATGTGCACGCAATTCAGCCTGCGGCTGCGATGTGAAACATACCAATTGTACTGTTTATTGTATTTGTGAAATAAACCAATATATATATTCTTTATTGACACAACAAAAAGTACAGGGACTTCTACGAGCCTGCTTCTACAACTAAACTAAAGATCTAACAAAGCTAAATACATGTGTGGATAACGTCATCTTACATAACGTTACAGAGTATATGTATGATGTAACAATAAAGGTTAACTATTCTCTAACGTGTTCTCTAAGATCGAAACATCTAATGTATTTTCCTATTTGAACACTGTATTGGTTATCTCCCCTGAGAGATCCTGAGAATGTAGTTGAATTTATCTATGGGATCTAACGTATTGAAAGGGGTTTATGGAAAACCCTGAGCTGTCTACCTTGCCTATGCTGTCACTTTGCCTGTCTACCTTACCTGTCTACCTTGCCTGTCTAGGACGTCAGGCTACTGAACTCTGGTGTATCCAGGACATGCTCTATCCAGCCTTGTCGTAACTCCTGGATATCCAAGATGTGCTTCTTCCTGTGACGTCATGTACGCTGATTGGTACCGTGTTGCAGTCAATTATGGTGATCGACAGGACCATAAGCAGGAATTATTCACGCCCACGCTTCCATATTTGTTCTCCCCGCGCAGGGTTCGTGTAACTCAGCTGCTGGTTCTTTATAACAAATCTATACAGAGATAGCGACCCTTCGTTGTGCACACGTTACATATGTAAACTGTCCCAGAATGTTATTGGGGATTGATATATCGAATGCAAGTCACCATTCGCAGCGTCGCTAGCAAACGACAGACCTGGATACTAGCGTGTGTTACACAAGATTTCGGCTGGAGGTTAATGACCCCGCACCCCATGGGGTAACGGACTTCCGGGAAGCTGGTGAAAAGCGAGGTTTTTTTAATCTGGAAATCATGGTAGCAGAACACAGTATTTATGATGACGTAGGGATAAGAAATGAGTGCGACAAACAGCTTGCACCACTTGTACACAGCCTAACGTGGATGACACCGGGACATACAAGTTACCGTATGGTACCATAATATGTCGGCTTTGATATCGCATAATTGAGATAAGGAAGGCTGCTCGGTTGGCGTATAAATGCGCGTGACCTTTTCGCTGCCTGCCAGGGTGAGTCGGCTGCAGTTCCGGTGCGCTCCGCAGGAGGCCATTTAAAAGAGGGCGCCATAATGTCAAAAAAACGATAACTTTTTGTACTTTTTGTTATTTTGTACATCGTACCCTATATTTTAACATATTCGTTTCTCGTGCTTTTCTATGGTACCCTACTGTATTTTTATCATCCGCGTCGATGTCAGTCACTTCCGGGTCCTTAACTATAGAAATCCCCATAGGCAAAAAACTGTGTTCTGCTGCCTTATTTAGAGCCTGAAACGCGTCATACAGGCGAATTTTAAAAAAGTCGCTATTTCTTTTGGAAATGGTCGGATATAATTTTCTTGCATTCCTAACGTCCCTCTGAGGTGTTAGAAGTGCAAGAAAAATACTCCCGACCTTTTAAAAAAATTTCCGCACATTATACGTATAAAAAAATTTGGTCGGTTTTTTTCGTGCAAAACCTATGATTTAGAGCCTGAAACGCGTTATACAGGCGAATTTTAACAAAGTCGCTATTTCTTTTGGAAATGGTCGGAAAAAATTTTCTTGCATTCCTAACGTCCCTCTGAGGTGTTAGAAGTGCAAGAAAAATACTCCCGACCTTTTAAAAAAATTTCCGCACATTATACGTATAAAAAAAATTTGGTCGGTTTTTTTCGTGCAAAACCTATGATTTAGAGCCTGAAACGCGTTATACAGGCGAATTTTAACAAAGTCGCTATTTCTTTTGGAAATGGTCGGAAAAAATTTTCTTGCATTCCTAACGTCCCCCTGAGGTGTTAGAAGTGCAAGAAAAATACTCCCGACCTTTTAAAAAAATTTCCGCACATTATACGTATAAAAAAAATTTGGTCGGTTTTTTTCGTGGCAAAACCTATGATTTAGAGCCTGAAACGCGTTATACAGGCGAATTTTAAACAAAGTACGCT